ACAGGGAGAAGTGCTGTGACAGTGTGGGGGGTATCACTATACCAAATGCCCCAGACGTTCTAGCGTGATCGTGGCTCCACCTTTTCTTATCATTTATTGAAACTCCGCCGGATCAGTCCGATACATAGATAAGATAAACGCGTCACGCTAGAACGTCTGGGTTACCGAGACAGACTATAACGGGCCAGGTTGCCCTAAAAACAAAATTAATTATACTTATATTGTCAGATCACGTGCGACCGGCAAGTGGATGCCGCTCGGTGACGGTGACACTGACACTGGTGACACTGCGCCTATCTACCACCACCACTTTGGATTCGCGAATGCACCCGTCTCTCAGCCTAACGAGCCTCGCCTGTCTTCCCCCATGTCTCAGGGTAATTTCGATTCCTAATTGTCAGTTCTTTTATCAAATCTTCAGCATTGGTTTGCAGGCATCTGCGATGGTCGCCGCGTCAGGCTCATATCAGGAAACACTGGCCATCGTCAAGAATGTATCAGAATCAGCGCCCACACATCTCCCATTCCTGCTACCTATATTCCATACCATTCTCGACCCAGCACGCATCCCCATGATCCTGACTCGGTTTGAATCATTCGGTTGGGCGAGCATCAGGGACGACATTTACCATGCACACTTCTGTCTGGTTAGTATACGTAACATGGGGATGCTCAAGGCCATTTCTCCCGATGCGTTTGGGGATCTGTGGCGACATGCTTGGCCATGGATCAAATTTCTGGACGAATATGAAGAGACTCTTTCCAACAACAATTCTCTTTCCGCCGAGACACGGTACGCGGGCTTCGTGTCGTTGATGGCGTTTCTCCGTGGCCAGGAACCGACTATAGACCAGGTTCGCTCAACTACTGGCCTCTACGTCGTAGTCGGGAGGGCTTGGCAGATTCTTGTTCGTGCAGAAGACCCGCCGGGAATCGCTGATGTGTCGTACTTCCTCGCACTCTGGTTCAAAGACTACAACTGGAATTCTGCCTCCTTTGAAGAGCTTATCATTGGCGTTGGGGGAACCTTGGCAGACCTAGCCGCCATCGTCGTAGCGCACATTAAACGCGTTCTTCCCCACCCAGACTCCGCTGTTACGGAACGACATGTTTTCCACCTTGTCGGCATCATTTGCCTTGTCGCGCCCGAGAGTCTTACCAGGCCCCTGCTGGATGTGGAATTCAAAGATGCCCTATTGTCGTGCGGAATCGTCCCCACGCTTACCACGGCTTCACGAGCATTGTGCCGCAGTGCTCTGGTCACGGCGGGGGTTGCGGTGAAGGCGTTTTTCCCCGCTCTCGTGGACCAGATCGTCTCATTCCCACCTATATGGCTCCCGGAATCTCTGCGCGCAGGCTTACTCGAGATTCTGTTCACTTCCCACCATCGAGAGTCAATATATCCGCTCTTCATTGACCTCCTCGAGGGTCTTATGTCTCCACACAGTGTCTATCATTCTGTTCTGACACAACTTCGGACATCCCTCCCGCAAGTCCGGGACCAGAATGCGGCGGCGATATTCAGTGACGCCACTCTTCTCGCGCGTTGGGAGAGCTTCCTACAAGTGGTCGAAGATCGTTTCCGCATTCTCGACGAATACAATGCTGGCGTTTTGAATCCACCCAGAGGATGTGATGATCTCGAGGTGCGTGGCAGCGTCGCGCAGGTATTTAAAATGCTCACCCGTTCTCAGTGTCTCAAAATTTGCGCCAAGCAGGAGCTCAAGCGTTGCAGTGGATGCCGGACCGCGCACTACTGTTCCTCAACATGCCAATCCAATGACTGGCGACACGGGGGACACCGTCAAACCTGTGGTGACCTCGCATCACATCGAAAAGGTCAGTTGTTCCGTGACTTGTATACCGAGACTATTCATGACAAACTCACAGAGTCCCCCCGTACTTCCTCCAGAGATCGGTCGTTTCTCCGGGCTCTTATGCATCACCAATCTACGATGCGGGCGGAGGAAATTGCGCATAAGCACCGAATCTTCATCCAAACCTATCCCGGGGAGGCACCATGCACAGTGTTCGACTTCACCACTGGGGCCTGTAGGGTTGAAGTTGTCGCGATTCACTGGTTTCTCCAATCACAACGTGGAGTAGATGCCAATGGAGCGACGAGCAGAGTCGCGCGGATTGAGCTGCATCTGATGAAAGTCATGCAGGGGCGGAAGTCTGTTGTGTGGCCATTTCCTCATTGTGCGAGTGGAAAACTCCATCAAGAGTCGAGTTCGAGTGTAGACACTTTGGATCTCGGTTCGAGGGGGATTTCACAAGAACCGGAGATTTGATCGGGTTTCGCAACTGTTTGCAGACTTGATGGGGGTAGGAATCATCGCTGTGTACAATTGAATCTGGAGTGAGTTTGTTGTTTTCACGTTTTTTGTTCCTGACCCCATTTACCGCTGCGCTCAAGACCAGCAATCGTGCGCGATACTTGTCCACTCTCCGACGAAAAAACCCCGAATTGCAAGGGTTTCAAGTGCTACTAAGCGCTGGCATTTCGCAGGGGCGCTTTTAGTACGCTCTCAGCTTGGGGGCAGCAAACCCAAGAACCCCCAATGTTCGACGTTCAACTCCGAATCCGAGTGATGAATTTGATCCCATCTCTCGCGCTCCAGCAATAGAGCTTGGCTATAAATTCATCGAGACGTTTGCGCTGCAGAACATCAACGTCGAAGCCTTGGTTGCGATCGTGCATGAGGTAGGATCTGGCGGAGCCTCTGCTCCAAATGAACTCCAACTATCCCTGCGTGTGGGATTCATTTGTCCACCTATCCTTTTTCGCAGGAACATGCCCCATGTCGAAGCTGGAGCCTCCAAGACGGAGATTCGGGCTCCCGTAAAGGCTGTGGTCGACCCGGGCTACCGAGTGATATCTAGACCAGGAACGGTCAGTCAACGCACAGCTTTGTCTCCCATCAGAACCACAGCTTCTTTCCGTTTGATTGCCACTCTCTTTCTCTCTATTCTTTATGCTATCCCTTGTATAAGTCTCCGGCCCTCTGGTTTATCTGGGCTCCTGACGTATCTTGGCGCTATCCTCCGTCTCGACCGATATTGCAAGATGAGTACCAGAGTGCGTGCTGTGCTTTCCTGTGGCACTGTACCCAATCTCGCTTTGCCTACAACAGTCTCGAACACAATGTCTCAAAGAGTTTAAGCTCGTGGTTGTCGGCGAAGGAGGTAATAGTATCACTTTCGCTCGTACCATCCCTTTGTTCACCCTTATGTCGGTCGCAGGTGTCGGAAAAACCGCCTTGACGCTTCGCTTCGTTTGCGGTAGGTGCCCGAATGGCGGGTTCGACCGTGGCTGCTCGATACTCAGAGCATTCATTCAGAGCGCTTCATTGAAGAATACGACCCCACGCTCATAGGTATCCGGCTTTTCCTTCCTGTTTTTATTCTAAACCGCCGTCGTATCGCACCACAGACTCGTATCGGAAGCAGGTTGTTATCGGTGACGAGGCCGTTCTCGTGGACGTCACCAAGACCGCTCATCAAGCGGGATTCGGGTGGGTGGCATTCGAATACTTATTCCCGCTCTGCTACGGTTTTATTAGTTGACTGCGTGCAGGGAGTATGTGCGCATGGGCGAAGGCTTCCTACTTGTGTACTCAATCGCACATCGGGATACATTCGAGAGTATTCGCAGGTACCATGAACACATCAGGCAGATAAAGGGGCAGGACGCGTTGTTCGCGGCGATCATCGTCGCGAACAAGTGCGACTTGGAGGCGTGGCGCGAAGTCAGCATCGATGGTATGTATGCAGCCCCCGACTTCCGTTTATTTGCTGCGTTCAGTCATTGCATTGATCAGTGACTTATTTCAGAGGGCCGTGAGGTGGCAAGGCAGCTTGATTGCACGTTTATGGAGACCTCGGCGAAGCACGGCACAAACATCGAGGAAGCGTTCGTCGAGCTCGTTCGACAAATCCAAATACAGCAGTTCGCCAAGGTAAGTTTCGGTTTCGGTGGCGTATGTCCCCTTTTATCAAACAAAAAAAACTATCGCCGCCACATCATTCATCTGTGCTTTATCTTTCACAGCAGCAGGCCAAGAATTGTGGCAGCCACACGCGAGACCAAGGCAAAGGCGATCACTCCAGCCGCTGCAGCGGCTGTGTTGTATTTTGACAGGATACAGGGATGGTCCATGGTGTTGTCGAGGACATATCCGGCTGGTGAAGTTCCAAATTGAACGAAAGCAACGTAGACATGATTTCCCAATACGTTCAGAAGGCGATGTTAATGACAACCGAGGATGCACTCTCCGAGGAATTAGGTTGACCCCGGCAATTTAAGTATTCTTCTGTCGTTCGACTCATCCCAAGATGTGAATTGAACCGTGGGAGTGGCTATCGCGCGCCCTTAAGTACTCACGAGGATAACTAGATTTCTAAAGTTGAGGGCCATCAATACGTTTGAGTAACTGCCGGAATCAGGATCCAGTCGACAATAAAATATGAAAGCTGTCTTCGTAGTTCCTACGCAATTCGTATGGTTCGCTTAGCATAAAGTAAAGACCCTGTTCGCAAGTGTTACCTGGGAAAATCGGACGTATAGAGTGTCTTTGAATAACTCAACACTGACTCGCTAAGTTGTGGTCCAGGGTGAAGATGCGAGGAGTGGGTGCCACCATGTATTGAGCCATCAACATACTGTTTGGTGAGGTTTGCTCCTAATCAACCATCACCACTGTACCAGCATTATTGAGAGAATCACTGCATGTACCCGCGAGATTCTTTGCACGCAGAGTCTCATGATAGTACGCTGACAGGTTTTTGAAAGCTTTGGTTTTTCAATGTTCTCTCTAATTCATTATAACGTGCGCAACACGGAAATTGCATGGCACGTTGATGGCTCGATATATCATGGCAGTACCACGAGGAACTCGTGCGCACCAAGTAGACACTGGGAACTAAGGTACAGTCTTCGATTTACAAAGGTCGCCAGAGAAAAGGAAGCTTGGGACGCAGCAGCAACAAAAACGAATTGCCCCCTAGCTGATTCGAACAACTGATCTTGTCATCTCAAGTCTTTCACATGTACAAGGGTAATCACGTGATTTTACGAGTGACACGCCTTACCACTGGGCCAAGGGGGCTTCTGGTGGATGCAGGTAGAGGTGCGCTGGTGAGGGGAAAAGAGCTGCGGAAAAGCGGAAGAGTTTCCTTTAAGTTTGACAGAGTTGAACAACATAAACTGTTTTCACCGTTTTGACAAGGTCAGCAGTTCGAATCAGCTCAGAGGCGTTATTTCCCCTTGTACTTTTTTGGTAGGTGGCCACTCAACGACACAAGTTCAACCAGAGATGTAGAGGATGAGTGATTTGAAGGGAAATGGCGAGACAGAATGTCACTGGGCCAAGGGGGACATTATACACCTGTGGGACGGGCTGTGAGGGAGGTTGACAATCGCAGGAAGTTGTGCGGGATGCCAGGGATGTGGGAAGGCCAAGTGATGCGGACTGATGCGAACGTATCGCCACTGCACAGCCACCCGACGTCTGTCGCGAACATTGGAACAACAGCGAAATGTTGGACGCGCGCGAGTTATTCGTCGGTTCGGTTTTATGGCAGCGTTTCACGGAAGGAAGGAAGGAAGGAAGATTACACGGCACGGAGTGACATCAACAAACCCTGTTACTGTACTTTTTCGTTCAAATCAACATGCGGTGTGACGCGTGACCCATCTTAGCAATTCGACATTTCGGCAACCGCAAAATTTCTGCGTGACACGGAAAAAATTTCGACATTCGACCCGAAAATTTCTCATTTTTTGTGCCTGTTTGACCGGTTCGCGCAATTTTAGGACCTGCGTGGCCGCCTGGAGGTTCGACAGAGGTCCGAGTGACGCGTGACCGCGACCGAATTCGTGATCGGCAGGGGGGTACGTGACGCGTGACTACCGAATTGAATGTAATCGTACAGTACCCTTCGGGATCACCCTACGGATCAGATTGGTCATGCGACTCGAATGATGAGTAATCGCTTTTTCTCCTTCCATGAGTACCTTCAGACAACTCCCCGCGACCGCTGGTGTGTGCACCATCCAGCATCTTGGAGACTTCCTCTAATTCCACCAGACGATGTAACGATTGATCAAATAAGTAGGGATTCAGCCTCCGCCTTTTCCAAAGGCCAGGAATTTTGACCGCGACGAAGTCTTCATTCTCACTACGATCCATAGATCTCCTTCCGCGTGCGATCCTGGGAGAGTGGGCATCCCCGACATCGGATCGCACTGTTGGGTTCTTCAAACTCCATCTGCTGAGTGGGCTTGGAGACGGCGAGGTATTCGTCGTCGGCGCAGACGACATTATAGAGGGAGTCGCGGTAGTGTTTGGGCCCGGGAAGGACGTCAAGTGTGTGTGAAAGCGACACGTTGATCGTCTTGCCAAGAGCAATTTCTAGGTCGGAATCACCGGAATGGGCGACCTTTATGGGTAATTTACCATCCGAAACCCAGAGAGTGGTACAAACAAGTAAGCTCACCTCTGCATGCCAACAGTATGCCGACGACAAGTTACAGTTCAGCGATCAGTCCAATACGTTCATTGAACAGGCATATGGACGCAACCACCAACTCGACTCGTACTATCTTCATCTCCTTGCGGTGCGCCCCTCTTCACAAGGAAAAGGATTAGGCGCCGAACTCGTCCGCGGCGTTCAAGCGAAGGTGAATCAAGTTATTACTTTTCTGCAAGACCGCTGAGTACTGGGTAGGCTGCAGAGTCTGGTGTTGATCTCTGCTGGCAAACGTCGACGGCTGTAAGTGCATTTCAACTGTGCTTGTGCCTCGGCTCACACATTGAATGAAGCCTCTGTTTTACGAACACTTGGGCTGCGAGGCCGTACATGACACGACTTATGCGTATAAACACGGAGATATACGTCAATGGGCGTATCGCTATCGGAGGCCACAGCAGTATGATTGATGCGGTTTTTTCCTGCTCTCTCCAGCGCCTGAAAGTTGCAACTACATGGTGTTTGGTCGCTCGTGTTCCAATGTAGAAGTCAACCCCGATGGTCTCAGCTTCGAACTCATAACTCGGTTTGCACACGATTCGATTCGCCAGACTTTTAACCTGACAAGTACTGGAGTTTTCTGCGTCGTCAGCATGGGACATATTTAGAGGTCAAACTCGTTTCCGCTTCAAGTTCCCGAGTCCCGACGAGAACAAATCCTCCTGGGATTCCTCCAGCCGACCTGACGTCCAAATCTTTCTTTCCGAGTGCGATGTTTTATCAAATCGAACTGATTTTTCTAATCAGTTCTGCTACAATTATTAGGAAACTCTCGAGATTCGGTGGGCGTGTACCGAAACACTTACAAGCTACTTTGACTGATTTCTCAAAGGCGGCTTTCCGGCACCCACCCGGTCCGGCCCGGGTACGACATGACCCACGTGCCGTGACGTGTGCGTGAATGTTCTTTGTTCTGCGTTAAGTATCTTTGTCCTCGCTCCTCCTTGCTCTCTCCTCTCGTGCATCAGCGAAAATATGGACGATCTGATTGCCACTTTCGGAACCTTGAGTCTACGCCAGCGTCCTGCGACTCCCAATGCTCCCCCCGAGCTCTGGTTGGACATACTCTCGCGCCTGAATTCTCGCGATTTGTGTGCCACAGCACTTGTGTCGCGGGACCTGCAGCGCCTTGCACACTCCATCCTCTTCAAGTCCTGTGTCCTCCGCCTTCGTGATCGCCAAAGGCTACGCCCGATGCTTGCATTTTATACATCCTCCGACATTGCGCCTCGTGTACAGGAATGCACCGTCCTTGGCCATAGCCACAACCGCGCTGCCGACGTCGCTCTGGTTGCTGAAGCGGTTCTGAAATTCACCAATCTCAGCCCTCTGGTCTTTCAGTATGTGCGAATGACTCCCATAACGTTGGCCACGATGTCCAGCACAGCGCTCTCGTTGCAGCCTTCGTTGACACTCATCTGCTGTATGATGGATTTCCCACCGCCAACCGAGAGTCAGGCAGGAACCATCCGCCTGAAAAGGTTTCTTCTGCATAATGAACATATCCCAGACTTCACCCATGATGCTCGCTGGCTCCGATTTCTTGATCTGCACATGCTGCAGGTGCTCGACCTACAACAGCCGTATTCGACCCAATTCTTCGTTGAAGAGCTTATCCGAGAACCGAGAATCCATTTTCCTGCTCTCGAAGTTCTTTTGTTGCACCGCGGTGGACTACCGCATACATTCAGCTCGATCTTTCCGGCCTTCCCCGCCCTGCGTGTCCTCGGCATCGATATATATTATCCAGCAGTGAACTACGACCTGCACACTCCGCTTGACACACCGCACGATGACACGATGCCCCTGCTTTCATCCTTCCGTGAGCCTGTTAAACACGCCGCCCAATACTGTACCAGCCGCGCACTCATGCGACATCTGAAGCTTTACGGCGACGACAGCATTTCGTCCTGCGATCCGGCCGAGCTCTCCCGCGCGATGCTAGAAATCGGACGCGCCGCACCGCGGCTTACATCGTTGGAACTCCGCATTGCTTTTCCGGTCGAGGAACTTACGCCCACTCTGTTCCGCGCGTTCCCCGCACTCCGCTCGCTGCGGGTCGTCGTCACCCACTACCCCGGCCGTTTCGCATGGACAGTGTTTCCGGAATCCACCAACATCCTTCACACGCTCGCGGTGCTAGCTCTACCATCGCAGCTGGAGGTCCTGTACCTTGCGTACCGCTATGGCAACGGCGGCGCGCCATCCGCAGACGTGCTGCAGCATAGCACCGTTATGACGACCACGATGATACCTGCCATCCGCGACTTGAGCCGGCGCTCTTCGGGGCTCCGCTGTATCTCCCTCTGCTGCGATCTAAACACCGATCCATGGACGTTTCCCATTCCAGTGCGTCGGGAGCGGGGGCGCACGATGATATGGGGCTGGATGCGAGATCTATCTGGGGACGAAACGATGACACAGGCGACAGTGTCGGGTGCAGAGTGCATCGACGGACGAAGGCCCAACATGAGGATCAGGGATCCTGAGTATGAACCGTATTCTGTGGCCGATGCCCTGGACGACGAGTGGCTTGAGGTTACCTCTGTCCATAGAACACCGTAGTTAGGCACTCATGCGAAACGTGCCCAGATCGAAATTTGGAGCTGGATGGACGGGCTTGAAACACACCAAAGAGAGCTGGTTCCTGCATTCTACGAAGCTTCATTGCCAAACACTGAGGGCTTGTCGCAGCGCGTAGAATTGAGAAAAATGCCAATGGATATATGTACACGTCAGCCTGAAAAACTCCCGCTCAGTATCTCCAAGGACGGGATAGATAATAAACTCACGCTTAATCAAAGCTTGCTCTTTTCTCCCGGTAACACGCGCATCCCTCGCACCCGCGACACAGGCAACGTACTCCCTCGTGCGCATATGCCTCTCTAAACGTTGCTATAACCCGCGCGCGCCACGCCCGAGGGAATCATCGAAGTTCGGCCCGGCCCGCGGGTGCGTGTGCGACGGAGGCGGCTTTGATGAAGATCGCGCTGGAGGGAAAAGAAAGGAAATGATCCCAGTAAGTGGTCGGACGAATGGTGAAACGGAAAGCGACGACATAGGTGCCTGCAGGAGGCCCGAGCTCGAGCATCTGCTGTGGGGACCGGCCGTTGGTTCACCCGAAGCACCTCCAGCGGCAATCGTAGAGTCACTCGTCGTTGTCGCCGCCGTCGTGGTCTTGGGCGCATCCGATAGACGGTACTGACGAGCAAGCGAAGGAAAAGGAAGAAATAAAGGACACGCACAGCCCTGAAGCGCCGCGCGCTACACTCCGCCCTCCCCACCGTCTTCCCATCGAGCGGGCTGCACCGCGACGTCCACTGGCGCTGTAGGCGGTCACCGTGCGGTGGCAGATATAGTACGCCTTGTTCGAGCTCCCAAACTGCAGGCGGATGTTCCCTCTGCTTCGCTGTGTCGTTTCCTCCCCCAATCCCACTTCAACCATCTTGTCGTTATTGGCAGACCTGCGAGAACGTGAGCGTATAAGGAGGATATCCCGAAATGATCCGCGTCATCGCATCATAGACCCGGGTCATTGCGGAGTAATCCGATCAGTCTCTCATGCTTCCAACCGTCA